CGTTGAGTCCATAGCCACATTAGGAACATTCCAATATGATTTAATATTTCATTAATCTAACTGCAACAAACAAGGCAGAATGCGGACTCCCTTCACATAGTGGACGACTAGGCTCTTCTAATTGATCATAGAAGTGTCTTGCTTCTTCATTAGGAGTTTCATCAAAATATTGTTCAGGTTCCATTCCACCTTGAACCTCGAAAGCATCATTGATCATTTTATGAACCCTATCATGTTTAATCATATCATCGTGTTCAACCCTAATATGGCCATGTGGTGCAAGCATATTATATCCATCCACGGGCATTGAATTATAAAATATATCATGCAATCTATCTCTTTCTCCATGATCGACCCATGCAAAATATCTAGGCTTAAATCTATTACGGTACAAATGAACCATGACTATATTTGGATTAAAAAAATTCAAGCACCTACATGCACTACAAGGACACCTAACCAATCCATTATTCTTGAAAATATCAAGTGTCATTGTATGTTCAATAAAAACTCTAACACCGTCAATAAACTCAGTTTTCAAACCACCACTAGTTTCCTAATGCATATTATACATCCACAAACGATGATCCATCTACAAAAATATAGATATTCAGTTATAAATTAAATTAAATAATAATTTAACTACATTAACTAAATTATATTGGTAATATATATTTATAATTACTCATAACTAGTTCGTAAATACTACATTTCAAGATCTACAAAGTTCAAGCTTATTAATTCATAAACACTGATTAAGTTTAAGATTTTAAATAATTAATTATATTCGTTATTAAATTCAAGTTATATTAAATTAAGTTCAAAGTTCTAATTAAGTTCAAATATATTAAGGTCAATAAGATTTTAAGTACTTCAAAGTTTAAATTAAGTTCAAATTTAAAAGTTTAAGTTCTAATTAAGTTCAATTATTAAGTTCTAATTAAAGTCAACAAGATTTCAAGTTCATATTCCTAATTAAGTTCAAGTTATTATAAATTAAGTTCAAAGTTCTAATTAAGTTCAAATACATCAAGGTCAATAAGATTTAAAGTAATTCAAACTTCAAATTAAGTTCAAGCTTAATTAATTAGTTCATAAAGACTACATTTTAATTATCAATATTTCTAACGTTCTCAATCTAATAAGTTCATAAATTCTACAATTCAAGATTTCTAAAGTTTTAAAATCCTACAATAATTCAAGATTTCTAAAGTTCACAACCTAAAGTTCTAAAATCCTACAATAATTCAAGATTTTTCTAAAGTTCACAACCTAATAAAGTTCTGAAATCCAAAAATTCAAGATTTCTAAAGCTAACAACCTAATAAAGTTCTAAAATACAAAAATTGAAGTTCATATCTAATTTCTAAAATTAGTTATATATAAACTTCAAATCCAAGAATTTCTAAGTTCAAGAATTCAAGTAACCTAATTTCAACTTTCATATATTATCCAATATTTTTCTAACTTCAAAGTAATCTAACTTTCATGTACAATCTAATAATTTTCTAAACTTCAACTTTTCAACTTACTAAATTGAAGAATTTCTAAGTTGTAAAATTCAACTAATCTAATTTCAACTTTCATATACTATTCATCAATTCTCAACTCAATAATATTTACACAATTCACTTATCCTCAAAACACTTCAATTACTAATTCGAAAAAAACCTCATCAATATATATTTATGACATTCAAACATCCATCTTATACTCAAAACACATCAATTACTAACTTGTAACTTCAAATTAACACTTCACTAACTAACAATCAATCAAATTTAAAAAAATCCTAATTCACAAATTAAAAAATCCCAAATTCAAACCAGTCCTAAAATAAAAAATCTTTAATCCATTCACTAACTAAAAATCAATCATTCAAACTAACAATCAATAAAACACAATTTCAATAAACTAATTACAAAAAACTAACTAACAAAATCGAATATAACTCAAATTGAAAAGAAAAAAAAAGAAAAAAATTATTTTTATTAAAAAGCGACTGACAATGTGGCAAATTGTGTTGCTTTTTTTAGCGACATTGTTCGTCGTTTTTTGCATATTTTTAGTAGTGTTGCAACTACACAAACCAATGGCCGAGGAAAGATTTTCATCTAGTGGGTTCAAAAAGATAAGTAAGCACACTAGTAGTATTCACAATAAGTGGGTTGGGACGGGTCGAATTCAATATAAGCAACTAAATAAAATTTAACTCTATCTCAAAACGAGGAAGTTTGTGTTTGACATAATATTAAAATGAGTATGAGAAAACGTATTTTTTTGAATTTTAGTTATGGTCTTGTCTTCATCATTGTTGTGTATATACATTATTCAATTTTGAAACTAAGGGCCTGTTTGAAAGGCCACAATGGAATTGGGAATTGGTGTAATTACTCTCTGTCATGTTTGGTAGACCAAGTAATTACTTGGTAAGAGGGGAATTGGGTGTAATTGAAGGGGAGTAATTACCCTCCTCAATTCACAAGGGATGGTAAGGAATTGAGTGTAATTACACCATGTAATTACATGAATTTTTTAATATTATATTTTTTAAATATATTTTTGTTTGGAATACCAAGACACTTCTTCCTTTTTTGTCTGGACATTTCCATTTCTAAGAACGGCAGCACAGTAACAAGCCCTGTACTTCTTCTTTCAAGTAAGATTTATTTCTTGATTCATTTTACTTTCATATTTTGATGTCTAGATAGATTATGTATGAGTTTTATTTTTGTATTTTCTCCTGTTAGTTTTGAGATTAAAATAATTATGAGAATTAATTTTTTCTTTAATTTCTGATAATAATAATAATTAGAATAATAATAAATTAAAAAATCGATTCTAACAATCAGTTATACATAGTAATATTATTTATTCAAAATCTGATCTATTTTAAAATTTAACTGTGTAATTACATTCGTCCAACCAAACAAGACAAAGGGAATTACACTGAATTACAATGTGGCAACCAAACAGGTCAATGTAATTACTAGACTGTGTAATTACTAGGCTAGTAATTACTACCCTAGTAATTACACCAATTCCAATTACCAGGTGACTTTCTAAATAGACCCTAACTAAGGAATACTTTCAAATCCAATCTCACTGTAGACAATAAAATTTGTGTTGAGAAGATAATAATCAAGACTGAAAAATATCGCAACAATAGTATTTTTATTTATAAATTTTAAATGATTACACCTATTTATTTAATCTTACTTATAATTATATTATTCTTTAATCAACTATAAATTAAACGCTTGACTTAAAATGAGTTTGAGAGAGTATATTTTTTAAAAATTTAAATTATGAAAACTTTAAAAAAGTTATAAATTTTACTTAATTTTATAAAAATAGAAAATAAATTTATTTATTTTTATTTATAAATTTTAAATTATTACACCTATTTATTTAATCTTACTTATAATTATATTATTCTTTAATCAACTATAAATTAAACGCTTGACTTAAAATGAGTTTGAGAGAGTATTTTTTTCAAATTTAAATTATGAAAACTTTAAAAAAGTTATAAATTTTACTTAATTTTATAAAAATAGTAAATAAATTTATTTTTCAATATATCCCAGTAGATTTTCAAATAAACCGGATGTTTCATTTATTTACAAATAAAAATAAACATTGGCTGAAACAATAGAAAAAAACCTATAAGCGAGATTCGAACTCGCAAAGTTGAAACTATGAAAAAAAATGTTGCCACCCGGATTTGTACTTGAGAAGCGACACTAACTTGCAAAATGTTGAATTCCCTTAACCACTGAACCAAATCATTTGCTTATGCTTGGGGAGGGGGGGGGGGGGTCATCGTTAAGTATATATATATGTAAATTAAAAAAATCGATCATATATATAATGTAATTTTTTCGATGAAGGGGATTCAGACTCCATGTAGCTCCGCCAGTGGCGGATCCAGGATTCGATGGGTGCTCAATTCTTTTAACATTTGGTAGCCAAAAAAAATTTCATTCTAGAAGTTTACTACTAATATTTTTATAATTTAATTAATAAATGAAATACAAAAAATAGGAAAGTGGAAAAACAAAAAGAGATATAAGCAAAATTTTGAAAAAGAAGTCATGAAGTTCTGTTGGCCTTTTTTCAACAAAAAGATAGATGTTGTCGTAGGGGCTCGAACCCTTGATGAAGGGCACCACCGCTCCTCGATTCCGACTTCAGAACCACAGAGCCCATGGAACACTTTGTTTAATGGGTGCTGAAGAAAACCTTATATAAATTTTTTAGTATTTTCTATATACATATATAAAGTTTCCGTCGGGGTCAATGGGTGCTCAAGCACCCAAAACTCTACACGTGGGTCCGCCCCTGACACAAACTAGTTGCAAAAAGTGATGTGTGGTGTCTTTAAAAGCGCTCAAATCTCAACCTTAAATGTTTATCAACACTTCACAAAATTTGTAAAAAATAATCTCAACTTGAAAAAAATTATAGAAAAGAATGTAAGTTGTCCATCAAACGTAAGTTTTAGCCTTGCCCATAAACACAAAACTTATGGTAAATTAATAAATTCACTGTTTTATAAGCAAAATGTTTGATACAAAAGTTTTGCGCATATTGTCAGTCATGCATGAGTAATAGCTTTTGCCTATAAATACGTGTTCATTGCCTATAAATACATGTTTATAGATCAAATTTATTTATTTTCACAACTTATTACCAATTAACCAATAAAAGCTTTGCCTAGCAAAATTTTTGAAACAGGTTAAATAAATTGTTAAGAAGGTGAAAAAAATAATAAATAAATAAAAACCACTTCCTTTTAGGCAATTAGTGAAGTTAACCCGATGGGCCGAGTTAGAAGTTGGGCTTAATGCATGATGGCTATAGTAAAGAAACAAGTGGCCCATATTCTTCAGTTCAGTTTGGAGCAAGGCACGTCACTGGACCAATGATATTGGAACACGTGGTACCTCTCCGACTCAAAATGCTAAGAACCCCTTGCCTATGTAATATAGTGGTAAAGCCAGCTGAAAAGTCTTGGTCATATTTGAATCTGAATCTGTATCTGTGTTAAGCAAGCATGGCGGATTGTGCGAGGAAGTTCCTCCTAGCTACCGTATTAGCTCTATTATGTTTCTCATGGACAATCGCAGCCTCTGACGGGCCATTTATTGTCGCACACAAGAAGGCCGCTCTTACTCGACTCAAATCCGACATCGAACGGATTTCCATCTCCATCGACATCTACAACGAAGGATCTGCGTATGCTTTTCTTCCCCTTTCTTACTCAGATCTCAACTTCCTTGTTTTCACAAATGCCGATCTCGCGCCTTGATTGCCTAAATCTGTCATTCATTTCAATTAGTCCGAATTTGTTTCCTGTTTCCATAATAGGAAAAGGATTACCTAGATAATCTGCGGTAATTAGCATTAATTGTTTGAGGCATCTTTATCCTACCTGTATTTATGGAGTCGAAGCTAATAAATACAACTATACTTTGCTCAATTGGTAAGGAAATGAAAGTTATTCTAGTTTAATCTCAGTCTTCATTTTGTCCCATTTCCAAACAGGGGTGCGAATTCTCTTGATCTGATTGTTTTATTGGGTTAATAAATGTAATTATTTGAATTATCTTCTTTTTTTCCTCCACACTACCGTATAGGGGAAGTGCAATTACTAATCGTGTAATCAGATTTCTTTCTTATTGAAATCCCCATAAGTTTTTTTTATTGCTTTCACCTTCCTGAAGCTGAAGCATCCTTGGAAAAAGAGACAACAAATTGCAAAATGATCTGGACTGGAATCCCTTTTTGACTTCACCTCCAATTCTCAGTAATTTATCGTGAAACAAATAAATATTCACAATAAAAATAATCTTTATCTTCTTCTAAATGTGTTTATGCATATAAGTTTTGTAGACAATGTTTGTGAAGGATAAAATCATTTTAAAAGTCATCCTTGGGTGCTTTACAGACAATGAGTAGTCTATAATTTTTTGGTCTTATTGTTTTCTAATTTTTGAAAGACTAACTCCTGTGTCCTATTTTTCTGAGTTTAATATCAATGGAATCCTGTATTCAAACTCTCCAGCCAGCACCTGTTTCAGATAACACTATGTACCTTAGTCTTTCTCCACCAGATCAATCTGTCTGGATTTAGGTAGCAATGGATGATATTGCTGAATGTGATCGGAGAGAAAAGGACACTTTTTCCCTTGATTGGTAAGAGGGAAATAAGGAATTGCTAAGTAAAGGGATTTGGAAACCCTCCAAGTCAGCTGTTTGGATCCCTTGTGCTTAATGAGAAAGATTTCCTACAAGAAAATACAGTCACCTTGGCTGAAATTTGGTTGTTAAGTCTTGGGGGTAAGATAGTAACCACTAGTGATATTTGGTGAAAATACTTCTAAATAATAATGTGTTTCTCACTTTCTTTTCACGTCATCAGCAGTCTCTCTCTCAGTACTTTTCAAAATGATTCAAACCTTGTGCTCGTTCCTGAACCATGTGTGGGATAGACTAATTCCTTGGCTTCAATGTGGTGAACAGTTCGGAATCTAAGAATCTCATTAGCTAATTAGAGAATGACTTTGCGAGATTCTTTTACCTTTTCTTGTGCAACTGACACACTCTAAATTGTTCTCGAACCTCTAGATTTCTGCCAGTTGCTCTATGCATTATCATTTACGATGATGTGCCTTTGACATGAAAAAGCTCTTTTTGTTCAGGACGGCATACGATGTGAGTCTTTATGATGATAACTGGTCTCAAGATGTATTTGAAATTGTCGCTGGTAACACATCCATGTCATGGGAAAGGCTGGACGCGTGAGTCCTCTTAACACTGGTGGTATCTGACTATTTAATTTCTTTATCTTGTCTCTTTTTCATGCTGGTTTGTTTGTCTGATGTCAGTGGGGCTTCTCTCTCCCATTCCTTTGAGTTGGAAGCTAAGAAAAAAACAGTGTTTTATGGGGCACCAGCGGTCATAACATTCCGTATTCCCACTAAGGCTGCTCTACAGGTTTGACATTCTTGCTTATATGCTTCTACTTGGTATGCTTGATATGGATGGTGTTGATCAATAATATTCTCGTTTTAGGAGGCATTCTCAACTCCGATCCTCCCTCTTGACATACTAGCTGATAGGCCTCCGGAGAAGAAGTTTGACTGGGTAAGCGCTCAAATACTAGTAGCTGCAGCTGCACGAACTACAGAACACATTTTTTGCTAATTGTAGTTTGCTAAGAGATGAATTTCCTTTTTTTGCATGGACTGGCCAAACTCTTGGTGAATATTCACAGGCAAAGGTATGACATCTTCCTACAATAATATTTAGCTTTGATAATGCTTACAGTTACATAAGATTACATACAAATACTGGAGAAGTAACCCGTTACTAGGTTATCAATCAATATCTGATTTAGGAAAAAACACATCTGAATTCAGAAAGAATGAGGGGTACAGGGTTGGAAAATTCATCTTATAAACATCTCTTTGAGCGCACCCTCTAAGTTTGACATTTTAAGTTGAATCTAAAATTTCTGCATTTTACATGTCCCATGTGCTTGGTACTTAATGGAAATATTTGATAATTATGAGAATTCGGACCTCATTTTATCTCACCTTGTTTACAGAAATTGATGGCAAAATATGGTTCCTTGATTTCTGTGATCTCAATTGTGGTTCTATTTGTCTACCTGCTTGCGAGCCCTTCAAAGTCCAATGCTGCAAAAAAGAAGCGCTGAATACAAATTAGCTGGCTTGCAACTTGGTCATTATTGAGACAAGAATGCTTGGAAACCTTCAGGCTTATTCTGTTTGTCCTTGTTAGTCAAACAGTTTAATGTACCAGTTTTAACTTTTACACTTGTAACAACATCCAAGCAGGTAATTAGACTGAGATGTTAGTCTTGGGCAGATCTCTAAGCTAAGATTTTTACTTTTTATGAGAATTTTGTACTGGGTTCCTTGAATACCTAAGTTTTTTGTTTTTTGTTTTTTGTGGTTGGCTTGCTTCTTGAGCATAAACAATTTCATTTTCTTACACTTTGAATTGTGCGATTTCATTATTAAGAGGTGCGAAATATTTTTCTGGTCGGGTAATGGATAGATTAGAATTGTTTATCTGACAAAGATGGCCAGGTCTAAGTAAGGAAAGTTGTAATAATTTTAGGATGCTTGTTTGTAACCAGCCCAGCACTTGGCCCTTGTGGACGGGTTTCTTTGGATATACAGAGTATTATGTGTTGGTGCTGATGGATGGGTAAGTTTACATCCGTAAAGCATAATTCCTGATTTTTAATGCCTTACTAATTGAGATGTAAACGCATTCTTGTCTTGCTCAACGGTTTCCAAGGAAAGAAAAAGTTTCCGTGTAAATCCAGACCGTAGAGGAGAGAAACATTGAATTACAAATGACAAAATTCCACTGTATTACGAACCTACCTATCTTTAATTTACAAGAATGGCCATATTGTTTATAAGGCGAAAGAGGGAACAGAATACTAGTCTAGTTAATTACTTGTATCAAGTTTGTTGCACCCATTCAACACAACTTTTTGCAGCATAGTCTATGGTTAGCGTATTAAAGGAATACTTGATCAGTTAAAAAGACCAGAGAGTCTGAGGCCTTCTGCATGACTTCATCAAGTGGCTGCTTAGTCTAACATCACATCTAATGTTCAATATGAAACAAACTAAATCGGGGCAATACTTTGACACAGTTATCAGTGCTGCATTAGTCCCACACTCCCACCTATACAACAATATATGATTTAAGCTAGCTTTTCGCTGATACCGCCCGCCTTCTTCAGTAACACCAGAGGAACACCCTTAATTCCTGCAACTCTTTACAGTTATCAAAACATCCTTAAGTACCATATTCATAAATTACATAAATCTGTATTTCATTACAAACTTTCAAAGACATTTTTTTTTTTATACAAATCTATTAGTCAACATTAGTAGTAACTAATTATTTTTCAATAGAATCCTTTCGAATAATATATATATATTATATTAGTGTTAAACATGAGTCTTTTCTATAAAATTCAAAATAACGAATCTTTTTTAATAAAATATAAATTTAAGTATCAAAAGAATTACATATTCAAATGTTACTTTAAAATCATAATTTTATGTTACCAGTCCAAACACAAGCTAATTTGGTCATGGCGAGGCAATGTGTTGCGCCTTCAATCAAGAGTATTGCTTTCCAATACGCATTTTTAAAGGTAGAAATAATGTGACATGCAAATTTCATGAACCATCCATATGTTGGGTGTTCCTCTGTCTCTAATTACTTGTCCATTTTTCCTTTTTTAGCTCTCCTTAATTACTTGTCCATTTTGACAAATTTAAGAAAGGACAATTTTTTTTTACCTATTATACTTTCAATTAATTATTTTGAAAAAGGTAGAACTTGTTGAAAATCTTATGTTTTTAATTCATCAACTTCATAATTAATAAAGGTAAAATGGTAAACTTACTATGTCAATAATTATTTTCTTAATAGGTGTGTTAATTCAAAAGTGAACAAGTAATTAGAGACAAATAGAGTACATAATAAGAATAATGGGAAATGAAGGGAAGATGAAAAGAGGAATTTTTAAGGTTATTATGCTTTAGTAAGAAAAAAAAACAATTCTCCCTCATTGGTGGTGGAAAGAAAAGTTCAAGTGTTTAAATAGAAAAACACTTCTATTAATTGTTAAAGGGTTGGAAAGAGAGACTCCCCTTGCGCCGTCGTCATCATTGTTCGCTCGGCCTCGGAAAATGATCGAGAGATTATTTTTTGGACAAAGTTTTAATTAATTAAATGGCTAAAACGTTTTTAATTATTTAAATAATGAGCTGAAACCCGACTCACAAATTCATTATTCGTGTAGTTTACTGCCGTTGAGTGGCTCGCTGACATGATTGTTTTGGCTATTAATACACTGGTGAATAGAATCGCTCTATCCTGAGAGGATATATTCCAATGGTGAATAGAATCGCTCTATCCTGGAAGGATATATTCCAATGGTGAATAAAATTATTCTATCCTGGGAGGATATATTCCAATTCAAACCTCGAATACTAGAGAAGAATAATTTCTTTAAGAGAACACTGTACATTCAGTGGATTCGATTTTCTTTCCTTTATGTTTCATACGATTGTTACAAATTATGGTATGTTTTACAGAAGTATTAGTTTTTGTTAATTGATTTCTGCTCTTCACTATGTGCTTTAAACTTTAATATTTACTGTTCCTACAAAATTTTGTTATCACTAGTATTGATTTAAAATACAAATGGCATAACAGCATCCACATTAATTAACAATTAACATGTGAATGAGCTAATAATGGCCTCCTTTTATGCTATGATAACAATTAACATGTGATTAAGTTGGCTGGCCAAAATGGGAGATAGAATTTAATATTTATAAGTTCAAAATTCAATTTTTTTTATTACGTTCTAAATTATGCTATAATAATTTGTGTATATTAGTAATAATTATTTAAAGATAAATTCAGAATTTGAACGATGTCGTTACATGTTGATATGGATATGGGTAGTCAATATTGTTTTGGTTTTATGATTGTTTATTTATGAACAAAAAGTAAAGGAGTATAAAAGTGAAAGGAAGATGAGTATCACAGCTTTCTTAACTATTGCAAAAGCGAAAGGCATTTTGATTTTTGTCCATGGCGGCTATTTCCACCGGCACTTACACGGCGGCCGGTGTTTCGCCGCTTCTCCAATATCGGAACTCATGCCTCCGCATCACCTCCGCCAGATTCAAAATTGCATCTGCAGCTGCAACTACTGGGAGATCAACTAACTCTATCGGCCAGCAACCGCCAACAGTACCGATGTCCAACAACTCCATTACTGACTCCACTGAGCTAGAGCAAACAACTACTTTGATTATGAAAGATTTCATGGAATGGAGCAAGGCTATGATTGCGTCCGGATCCGACGGTGGGCCACCACGCTGGTTTTCACCCTTGGACTGCGCTGCTCCTATGGAAGACTCCCCTCTATTGCTCTACTTACCAGGTGATTCATTGGAACAGCAACTTTACTCATTTTTTATATATCTTCAGTGAATGGACAATATAGCAGAAAAAACAATCTGTAAGATCCACACGCTAGACAGATAACCTTCTTTGTATCAGCGTTTATGAACTGTTCATACAGTGATCTAAATAGCTAATCTGTAAGTTAATTAAACTAGGTTTTATTTACTCGGAACATTGCAGGGATTGATGGTGTTGGACTTGGCCTTATAAAGCATCACAAAAGACTTGGGAGGTAAGCTTGTTAATTGAACTTTTCGGCACAATGTCGGAATTTAAAATATTTGATTTTTAGCAGTACTATTGTCTTTAAGATGTTTGTGTTGTACTAGACTAAAATATCTTGTTAAGTTATCTTCTTCTTTTTTTGTTTTTTTGGGTGGTGCTTTCCATACGTGAAGGATCTTCAATATATGGTGTCTCCACATTCCAGTTACAGATCGAACATCATTCTCAGGTCTCTCCTTGCTCATCTCCCTGTTGTGTTCTTAGGAAAAATTGCTTGCCTGAATTTTAATAGATGGAAACCAAACATCTGAATAAAAATATTTTAAAGAGTGGAAATGGTAGCAAGTGCTGTTGTCCCTAAATTTTGTCTTATTATATATTTTCACATGGACATCCAGAAGTGATGATTTGAGGATATATTACTACTATTATCATATACTGAAGTCAAATTCTCTTTCTTAGTATTGCATAACAGGTACAAATCTTATGTAATTTGTGAAAAAGATCCTTTTAGATTCAGCAAATCAGATAGTTATGAATCACCTAACAAATGGGACAAGAATGCCAACTTAGCAAGCTGTGCATTTGGAAAAGCCATGCAGTTACTATTTAAACATTAACATGAAATGTCTATGCCCTGATATCTAGTGCTTTTTGCTTTTTCGCCTCTCTTTGTAATGAGTAACTTAACTTGTGTCCACTTTTAAGTTTGAACAATGTTACTAGACAAACCTGTCCTGTTTCATCTCAAGCAGTTTTTCTTTCTGAACTTGTGTGTGTGCTCCTTTTATCTTTTGAAATGAAAGTAACAGTGGGATATACTTCCCCTTAACTCTCCTTCAGACCTGGTGTACCTGGTTGAAGCAACTGTTAGATCAGAGCATCACCATGCACCAAGACGTCCCATATATCTTCTTGGAGAATCTTTTGGGGGATGCCTTGCACTTGCTGTTGCTGCTCGTAATCCTCATATTGATCTTGCACTAATTTTGGCAAACCCAGGTTCAAAAGCATGTCATTATCATTTTACGAGATAAATTTATATTGCTTGAATCATTTTTCTTATTGCAAAGATGTGTCTCAGCCACGCGTCTACGTGAATCTCAGCTGGAAAATCTGATAACGTTGTCCGAAGTCATTCCTGAGCAACTCCATCCAAGCATGGTTAAACTGTTAAGTGTGACGACAGGTTATTGTACCTTCATCCTCTGATTTATGAGTATAATAGTTTAAGTAGATGGAATTTTGTCTTGCCAAACTAGCATTTTAATAACTGCTAACAACTATTAGCTGTATATTTTGGTAATATTTGTTTGAAGTTTCCAGAAACTAAGTTTGTTTTGAGTTTTTATAAAAACTGTTTGTTTGACTGATTTTTCCAGCAAAGGTTGACTTTTTAAAAATATTCTCATACTCATCTTTCTGAATTCTACCCAAAAGAGTTGCTTTTCCTGCATCTCCTTGATTACCATGCTAGATGAAATGTGAACTGTTTGGTTTGGTAGATGAATGATCCCAGCTTCAGGACTATTATTTCCTCTGAATCTTTTAATGAGAATCTTGTTGACTAGAATTGTAGGAGGAAACATGCTAAACATGCTCTCCAGTCACTAATTAAGATGTTTACTTGCCTACCTACGTCAGTATATATAATCACACATGTCATACTTCACATTGTATCTTTCTCCAAAAGATGTGTGTATCTGTTGGGACAACACATACCTATTCAAAGTGTGCAGCAACTTATTCTGGTCTTAATTTTTTCTAACTTGCACCACAAACTTTCACTCAACTTGAACAGTTTGACTGCTGGGCCAGAAAAATCAATTACTTGAAGAACTTAATCCCAATATTGAACAAATCATTCAGCTATGTTTGCTGTATGCATAATTCTTTAAAAAGCAATAGATCTAGCAAAACACCTACCAAATGTCTTTGAAACTTCTCTTCTTTTTTTTGATAAAAGTAACAGTTAGTCTATATTTATCCACAGGTATACTACCTCAAAAGTGTAGTTCCCCTCCAAAAGTGTTGTAGTTACATAGGCTCCTATACCTACCAAGTTACAGCCAGTCTATAGTTGTGCTGATTACTTCTGAGCTATCTAAGACTACTTGAAACTTCTCTTGATAAAGTATATGTATATGTTCACACTTGTTCTTTTAACGTTTGCACGAATAAATTTACATCTTTAGTTTTAGTTATCATGTTTATTGGTTCTAAATCCCTCAATATTGGGCTGTGAAGTGCTCAAAATGGAGTGACATGAAGAGTGACGATTCATATAGCTGACCAACTTGCTTGGGATTGAGTTGTAGTTGTTGATCGCAACTAAATAACTTCAGTGGATACTTCTTGCTTAAATTGGTTTACTGAGTTCACTTTCTGGTTAACTTTTAGATGAAAATTTACAACTGATTGAATTACATTGATTAGGGGTTCCTGCAAGGGTGGCAGTGGCAATTCCTGGCAGTGGACACCCTTTGCAACAAGCAGTAGCAGAGTTATTTCGTGGTGATGTAGCATTTTCATCCTACTTATCTGTAAGGTCCAAAAGTCTTAAACTCATTAGGTTAAATTGTGAAAGTTATCCCTCTTAATCTTAAAGCTTGGTCACCCTAGAAAAGAATTGTTGCATTTGGACATTTTCACCAATTTATTATTTACGGTACCTTCTTAGTAGTGATAAGATTCCCTTTCGTTCACCATGTCTATCCATGTTGATATCTTCCTTTCCCACTCTGGCTTTGACACTTCAATAGTTTTGAAGACTTTAAACTTAGACAACCATTATTAGTTGATATTTTCAGTTGGAGATTGTTCTTGTTGTCAGTTTGAGCAAGAAAATGATGATAAAGGTCACAGGTGCTGGCTGATGTTTTACCTGTAGAAACACTTATCTGGAGGCTGAAGATTCTCAAATCAGCCTCATCTTTTGTCAGTTCTCGCCTCCATGCTGTCAGAGCTCAGACTTTGGTACTCTCGAGGTAATTTTTCAGAGTTCCAGTGTCATTGGTAAAATTTGATGAAAGAGAGATTTTTAATTGCCTACGCCTTCCGTGGAGATAGTTGATTTTCTCTCTCTTTTCATCTTTACGAGAAGTTTATTAATGTAAACTAGAATTGTTGTGTTCTTTCTTATTCCGGACATTTTGAGCAATATCCAATTCAGGTTGGCTTTTGCAACTGCCACTATGTGGGACTAAGAATTATATTGCTATGCAGTGGAAAAGATCACTTGATACCCAACCCAGAGGAATCTGAGAAGCTTCGCAAGATGCTTCCAAACTGTGAGATCCGGAGATTTAATAACAGTGGGCATGCCCTTCTCCTGGTAGGCTGTTCTTCTTTTCCAAACCCTTTCAGACCCAATTCCTCTTTCCAACTTTCCACATATTACTTTTGCTCTATACCATATTCATAACTGCTTATGCAAATGGTAACAGTTCTTTGTTTAGAATAATTTTTGTGAACAAACAACAAACCAAAGCAGAGAATGTCTTGATTAGACTATGCATCAATATAGATAGATTTTTTCAAGAACTCTGTGCCTGAAGTCCCGTTGAGGTTTATTAAATGACAAAAAAAGGAAAACAAGAAAAAGAAAGTGCCTTTTAGTTAAATGGAGAAAAGAACACGCCCCTTAGTGACTGAATAGGCTTGGGAGTAAGTGAAGTAGGAGATGGGACCTCAAGGATCTGTTATGGGCATAGTGAGGTAAGATGATAGAACTTTCAGTTTGCTGGCAGTTGTGTGCTTTCTAGTTGCGTAGGCAAATGTAGGTCCTTGTTATTCATTTTATTTTTTGATTATTGGGATATTCACTGCACTCTTCCAACTTGGAATTATCCATGCATTTTGTATACAAGCTGAAGTTTATAGCTTTTGCTCTTATTTTCTATCATCTGCTGTAGTTTATGATATCAGGTAAGCTACAGTCTTGATATAACATTTTTTTACTTACTTTTTATCTTTGACAAGATTGAATATAAAAAGTGCAAGGGTTGCCTTCCAACAGAATTACTCTGTCAATATGATTCCATAAAAAGTCACACAGTGGCATATTACATGCCTTACTTCCTACAGAAAGATTCAGTACCCATGGCAGTGTATACAATAGGTTACGTAGTCCTGCAGTAACCTACCTGTATGCTCTTAGTTCTGCATACGTAGAACTGGTTACTTCGTATTCCAACAAAGATATTACTCCAACTTTTAAAGCATTCATACCGAAACTTATGCAAAAACATCTTTTCTGGGGTATATGATAAGTTGAAGTTTTTATGCAGGAAGCAGACTTTAATTTGGTAACTGTCATAATGGGTGCCAATTTTTATCGACGTGGAAGACACCTTGATTTCGTTAGAGATTTTGTGCCACCAAGTACTTCTGAGTTTGACAGTGTGTATCAACCATACAGGTATTTTGTCCTGCTCTATGTTGGAACACACTGACTATTGAAGTGTGTGACCATCTCATCTAAAAGCTTAAACTGTTAGAGGGAACACACTTTTATTACTTAATTATATTCTCAATACACCCACTCAAGTGAGGGCCTGATTCTTTTATCATGGGCCGAAGCACGTGGAGATTCATTTTTATTACGGGTGGTGGTAAGATTTGATCCCAGGACTCTGTCTGCTCTGATACCATATTGAAGTGTGTGACCATCTCATCTCAAAGCTTAAACTGTTAGAGAGAACATACTCTTGTTATTTAATTATATTCTCAAAACTAACCACTAACCAGTCGGTAGGGGATTGTAGAGACGCATAATTTGCTTCCTGGTCATTTACAGTGTGCTCTATGTTCATAGATATGGTATCTAGTTAAGGAGGTTCCATGCTGACAATGTATTTGTTGGCGGTCTTGCTTCTCTATAGAAGATGCTACCTTTGGACTAAACTAGGGTTAAGCTAATCAGAAGCTCTTATTGGCATAGTGAATCAACTCTTCTGCATCTGCTATTATGTGTACTTAGTTCATTTGATAAAAACACAAATACTGCCAAGTTTATTTGATCATTATTTCTTGTGTGACTGATTAAAACACAGGTGGATGGAAGTTGCCTTCAACCCTGTGATGATATCAACTCTTGAGAATGGGAATATTGTTCGGGGTCTGACTGGAATTCCTTCTGAAGGACCAGTCTTACTTGTTGGTTACCACATGATGCTTGGACTTGAACTAGTTCCTTTGGTGTCCCGTTTGTGGAATGAACATAAGATTGTCCTGCGAGGAATAGCACATCCATTGATGTTTAAGAGACTAAGAGAGGGAAAAATGCCTGTCTTATCAATGTATGATGATTACCGATTTATGGGTGCGGTTCCCGTGTCGGCAACTAACTTTTATAAACTTTTATCATCAAAATCCCATGTGTTGCTGTATCCTGGGGGCATGCGGGAAGCTCTTCATCGGAAGGTATTACCTAGTTAAAGCATCTTGCTAAGAAACGCTCTTCTCAAAATATTTCTGTATTTACTGACTTCAGTGCAGTCAAATTCTATATTTTGTTTATGAATCTAAGGGTTGCATTTCTTAGAAAGTTTGTGATTAACTTGTGTGATTTTTCTCTTCTCCACTTGAAACATAATGTCATGTGAAACATTAATGAGTTGATCACTAACCTTTTGTTTCCTTAAAACCTAAGGACAAATTTGTACTGCACCGTCCACCAGATCAATTGATTTTGTATCTTAGGCTCAACTTTAGTCTGATTAATGTCATATGTATGAGCAGTTTATCTTGTTCATAAAGATACACGTATGCATGATCTGAAGATATTTATTATGATAGCAAATTTAACAATGCAGTTTGAAAATTGAATTTCTCATCTATTACAAGTATATGTGTACTAATTTACTTTGTATGTCAAATGTTGAATTAAATGGTCATTCTCATGTTAATGAAACAAAATTGAAATTTACAACCTGTTGATTTCTCAATATGCTATGTATTTGTTGTCTGTGGTTCCAAGGAAAGCTTGATACAAAGTCTAGATCTATATATGGCATAAGTTAAGTATTGAAATTTGAAATAAGTTGCTGAAAGATGTTTGCTTAAGTATGGGGAGATTGACTTGGAACAATATAGCAGAAATCCTTGCAGTTATAAATGTTGAATAAGGTTATTATTTAGCCAATGAGCAGAAGATAAAGGCATGCTGCTCTTCTAATAATTTGGTCTTCTATATTCAGGGGGAGGAGTACAAATTGTTCTGGCCAGAACAGTCTGAATTTGTCAGGATGGCAGCTAGATTTGGAGCAAAAATTATACCTTTTGGTACAGTGGGAGAAGATGATATTGGCCAGGTAATTTCACGAGTTAACATATTTTGTATTTGAAAGTGTTTAATCAGACCATGCAACCAACATATATTCTGGTGGATCAGTTTCACCACAAAAGTTGAGTCTTTTTTTTTTTTTTTTTTTTGGAATGCATAAATACATTAATAAATATAAAAACAATTGCTTAAAGGAATGTTGAATACTTATGAAAACAAGATGGAAATCATTGTTTTACCTGAATGGATCGGGTGTGATGGGACAGAACAGCTTGTGGCTTCAGTTCGATAACAGTGTTTTAATAGTTGAACTGAATCATTTAGTTTTTTTTAAGTGCTGAGGTTATCCAATTCAGATGGTTTGAAAGGGGAATTTTTTTTAAAAATTGGATATATTAAAACTTGTCTACTAACTAACAAAAGTAGATTCTGATAAAGAAATCCTGCAAGCAGAAAATTTAGCCATTAATTGGCTGGTGATATTTTGCCGATTATAAAAAGAGTTTCATCTACTAATACGTTCCCCCCAAACCCCTCAATTTGGAGCATGGAGAAAATGCTCTTTAATTTTGCTTTCATGTTGACTACCCAAAGCTCTTTCCTTAAGAAACAATTAAACAATAATGCACCAGCTGTTATTCTAAACCTGCTGTGATTAACATTGAGATAGATTTCCTTATTGGAAATAGCAACTTTTGTATCACAAATTCATCCTCTTGTTCACTCATCAATCTTTCAATCAGATGCTCCTTGATTATGATGACATGATGAAGGTTCCGTATCTCAAGGCTTTCATAGAGGAGTTAACTGGTGAGGTGGAGAAGTTAAGGTATTGAGTTTGTTCTTTCCTTAGTTTATCTGACTTAGAGTGTGTTTTGGTATGGCGTGGAAGTTATATTTCACTGTAAAGATTTTCCTGTAAAATGTTTTCCAGTGTTTGGTCGGCGAATGGGAAATGTTTTATTTTCCAGAAAATAATATATAAAAGATTAATAATATTTTTAGCTAATAAAAGAGTGGTTTGATGGGAGTAATAATAATAATGTGTGTTAGTTGAACAGAATGATTTATGACATAAGGAGGACTACTTATTTTTTACATTAGCAGTCAGGCCAAAATAGGAGTTGATTCTACTAGTCTCTTATTTCCAGTTACTTTTTTTTCCCTATTTATTTTGGTTCACTTTGCAAACCATTTAGTTGAGTGAGAGTAAAATTGACAGAAGAATGCTGTCTTGTATGTGAACACAGATGTGACACTGAAGGAGAGGTTTCAAACCAAGATGTACATCTTCCAATAATTCTTCCAAAAGTTCCTGGCCGTTTTTACTTCTACTTTGGCAAGCCAATTGAAACAGCAGGTAATTCGTGAAGTATTTATATGCTGCTTTTGATGAGCTTTTAATTAATTAGTTGTTGTTTGCACTTTTGCAGGTAGGAAGGAGGAACTTAAAAGCAGGGAGAAAGCACATGAATTATACTTGGAAGTGAAGTCTGAGGTTGAGAGATGCATTGATTACCTGAAGGAGAAAAGAGAGAATGATTCGTATAGGAATATAATGGCCCGCCTGCCTTACCAGGCTAGCCATGGCTTTGATTCTGAAGTTCCCACCTTTGATCTATAGTACTTATTGTATTCTTTTCTTATATATATATATATATATATATGTGCGCACACCTTCCTTGTTTAAAAGAAGGAAAAAAATACTTAATACTATACAAAGTGATTCTTTACAGTTATCATTTTGCAGCGAGTTGATCAATCTTTACATTAGTATAGCGCACTTAAGTCACTATCAGTCATAAGTAAAGGCTGATGTTTGACGTAGGCCAAACATATATATCACTACTTTAATAATGCCCAAAAACCCTTGTTGGGCGTAAATACCATCACCTTAATAAGTAGAGATAAATGGAAAAAGAGAGACCAAAATTGATTAAGCAAAAGACGTTTAGGTAGAAGTGGTCCCGTCCCAAGTATAGTAAGGTAATTATGCAATGGGTCTAATGTTACATGTGCCATTAAGAATGAAACTGGTAGTACGTACATACTGATACTATATATATGGGAATGGGATGTGGTTAACAACATAATGTGATTTTCCGATTGTGTTGCAGAGTATTTCCCAAGTAGTAGTAGTAGTGCAATCAGAAGAATGAACAAGTTAGGAATGGTTTTGATTTTGTTGTTAGAAGGGGGTGGGGTTGGTTTTGAAGCTCAACAGAATGGTTACTTTGTTTGGGCTAGAGGACAGAGGAGAGGAGAATAAATATCCCAGTGCATGCAGAGAATGAATGAATTAAGAGGTAGGTACTTTGATCATGCATTAGTTTAATTAATAAAGACACCTGGTTACTTACTTATTTTACTCACTTCACTGCTCCATAATTGAAAGCATAACTAGTTACTATCACTTTCGCATTAATTACTCTGCTGCTAACAATAACAAACATCCCTTCCCTTCTCAACCATGCATGCATGCATGCAACTATAAATAACTATATATATATATATATTCTCCACAACTCTTTATCACATTTCTTCATATAGCTAGCTAGCTAGCTATATATACTCTTTTCTAACCAATTATAAAATTCAATTTAATAAGTGGGAGCCACCAATATTCTGCTTTTAATTCCCCCCCTGAGCAGTTGATTAGAAATTTCAAAATGGAGTAATTAAGAGAATAGAGGAGACATGATGAGTTAATTAGCTAGGTAAACAGGACTAATTAAACAGGGGATGATAGTAGTACATGGATTAATTAAGGTAAGACTGTAGCTAGCTAGTAATATAATGGAGCGACGACTAATACATTCAGATCTGACGCATGCAGTAAGTCCTTCACTTGCTCGCTATTCTAAAGAAGAAGAAAAATCAATTTCTCTTACAAACGAAGAGTAAGGTCGAGATTCAGCTGGCGTTCATCAACGGGGGGAGTTGAGAGAGTAGGAGCATCACCAGTAGTAGTAAAATATCCATGATTCGGTGGAGGATAGAAACCGGATGAGGAGGAACAGAAAGGGTTAAAGTTATTGTCTGAAGGAGGGGCTTGGAGCTGGCAGCAGTAATTACTCATATTGTAGGGGTAATTACCATTGATGATGTTCTGTTGTTGAGGCATATTCTGATCATTGTTGTTGTTTTGAAGAAAATGGAATCGGAGCATATTATTATTGTTATTGTTAGGGTTAGGGTGAGAGTCGGTAGGGGTGGTGGAGAACATATTCCGGCGAGAAGCAGCTCTTTCTCGTTTGTGAGCATTCTGGTGTCCCCCAAGTGCTTGAGAAGTGCAGAACTTCCTAGAACAATAGAGACAAGAGAACATTCTAGACGAAGATGGAACTTTTGGTTTAGGTGCAGGGATCATGGGTGGTTGATGATCTTCAAGAATAATATCTGGGGCGACGGAGTTAGACTGGCTCCAGAAATCATAAACTAGGTGGGTGTGGGTGTGGGTGTGGTCCGCCATTAATGACTTAATTTTCTGAGGAGGAAATTAAAGCAAGGAATGTATGTATGTATGTATATATAGGAGAGGAGAGGAGAGGAGAGGAGAGAGTACTGATCAGTAGTGGGGAATATAATGGGACAGATTATGGCAGAACAGAAGAGAGAGAGAGTTAATTTGTTTGTATCCATCTATCTATCTATCAGCTGCATGCATTCAGCTCCACCCCCGTTGTTAGTACACAGTTGTTAAAGTGTACCATTTTTACTATTTTCTCATCATTTCCAATATCCCTGCATGCTATAATAAGTAACTACACAAATATTAATCATAAATTCATATCCATCAATACCAAACCTTTTTTCGATCGACTTAAAGTATTAACTATATTCTGAATCTATCATCCACCTTTTAATTTTTGGTAAAATAAAATTAATCCAAGACTTGTAATATCAAGACTAAAATACTGGGATAATAAAGTTTACAACGTACACAAGCTTATGTTGATCAGTTTAGAAGTTTAAAAAAAAAAACTTTAAAATTTCTACGTTTGAATTCACGATCAATTTAAAAGTTTGAATCTTGAAATTTCAACTATGTCACATAAAAGGTATATAATCCCTCGTCATTTAATATTTACTCATCTCCTCATATTGAGGTGTTTGTAGTTTTAATTAAGAACAATTATATATAAGTAAGGGTAAAATGAAAAATAATTATTTTGAAAAAGCAGGAGAGATAATTTGATGGTGTAAGAGGAATATATAGGAGTAGAAGTGGTGAGTAACTATTAAGAGTGATTAGATATAGGGATGGGTGTGTTAGAAGTTAAAATGGTATGGGTGAGTACGTGAGAGTGGTTTAACTTTAAGCAGATTGATATGTTTGTTTAAGGAAAGGGGGAAAAGTGATTGACAAGTTGATGTGAAGAAATTGATTTGTGTTGGTTGGTTCAGCCAATTCTGACAGAGAAACAAACAATAAAAGGAGAAGGCAAGTCTCATTAAAAATGGCACCCTAAAATGCCTATTTCCCAGAGGCAGATGGAGGTATGGACATGGTGGTGGAGATTAACACCTATATATGTACTACTCTTTCTTTTATTTATATATTTATATGCCTAGACATTCTATGATGAAAAAGAGAATCTAGGAATTGTGATGTATTAATTAATTAATCATATATAAAAATTGATTTAATCTGTAGAAAAAGGACAGACAGCAGGGTAAGTGGAGAGGAATTAGCTTGTTAGACACGTGTCTGTCTCACTAAGTAAGTAGCAGTGAGTAGAATCACAATAACCTGAGCTGAGCTGAGCTGAGCTGATCCCCCTATCCTATCTATCATCACCCAAAACTGCATTCCCTCTCTCTCACTTTAACAAGACGTCTCAATGTGACATAAATCCTACATTACAACTTTTTTGATAAATAAATAAAACTTATCCCTACTCCTACCCTCTTCCTTTTTATGGAACATACCCATAAATATGGAATGGAGTAGGCATGTTTAACATTAAGAATGACAAAAAAAAAAAAAAACAATTATCCTAGTTGAAAATTTTACTACTACCGAGTCTGAGTCTGAGTCTGAGTCTGACCCTTTCTTTAGATTATTGAGAAAAATTGTCTCTACAGTATGGTTGCTGTATACAAGTAAGTTCCTGCATACAGACAGATGAACAACCATACAGACAGTAGCCGAGGTAATTTTGATTCTCCCTAGTGTTAGACTCACATTCTTCATCCACTCCCTTTTATAATGTTAACAAAACACACATCAATATATATGAAACATCTTCCATTAATAACCCATTAAAACAGCCTTCAAGCCAAAAGTAAAAACACAGATCCACCCATTTCTTAAATGGATGCCTTTATACTCTTCCTAAGATTACCACACTGGCCGCATCCTGATCAACCAATAAAACCAAAAGGGTAACCACTAAAGAAGCTACTCCCCCTCCCAATCACCTGGCAAATATCAGCCTGCACGTTGCACAACTTCAGGAATCATGCCACTTTTATGGATTTCACAGATAAGTCACAACTCGAGGAGAAGTCACCAAGAAACACGTACAAGGATCAAAAGGCTCCAGGATCATCAAAGAACTAGTACTGATATCAAGTAAAGGAAAGGGAACAAATCTGCTGGTAGTCGTATAAGAATCTCCCAATGGCATTTCCTCATATAAAAGTACATCTAGGTACATACAAGGATGTAGATACATTCATATTGGCAGTTTACATTTCACTTTAGGAGCGTACAAATTTCTGCATAAATTTCTCCAAAGCACTTCTGAAATCATGGGTTTAAAGTTTGATATTTGTTGAAAGGTTACTAGAATTTCACATATATTTGTACTCTGTTAAAATTATTGGGAACCCATCCATCTCTGTCTGATTGCATGATATACCTGTAAGATTTAGAGGATGGAGTTTCTGGGTAGCTCGATGTTTAAGTGAACAGAGATTAGTTGTAATTTGGTTTGCAGATTAACAATTTAGAAGAAAGCTTTATCCGACCACAGTAAGATATATATATATGTGCACAGAAGTGCAACATTTACAATACTCACAATATACACGCCAATTAAGAATTACTCTCACAATACCAGAAGTCATACAACTGCAAGAGCATCAAGTATTGCCATCATTCGCCAACTTCAGCTCAGCACTTATGGCTCCAAACAATAAATGTTGATTCTGCAAATAATAATTTGAATAACTTCAAAAACTTTCATTAGATCTTTTCTGATAAAAAACCACCGCATTTGTTGTATATCTAGGACTTCTTTTGTAAGTCAATTGTACATCTAAGACTTGCTCAATATGATTACTTTGGTCAACAATATACTTTTTCTAATTCATTCTCAAGTCACCTGCATTTATTAGCTGGAAGTAATGCTGATTTTTCTCTGTTTCCCCTGAAAAAAAGACACCCCGACTTCATAAAAAATACGTCCTAGAAACTTCCTTCACGATTCAGCATATCACACTCTGTTATGTATCTTTTTTCTACATTTAGATTCGAGATACCACAATGTTAGATGCAGCTAATGTGTCTTGGTAGAAATTGAAAATATGCAATGAATGAAAGGATCATGTGACTTGATTGCCTTGAGTTTCCATCATCTAAAGACTAAAAGAGCAAGCCTAGGAAGACCTCCGGGATAATGTTAGCTTTTCTAAATGGATAATGGCAAATAAATTCAAAGTCCAGTTAATTAGAAGGATGAGATTAAAAGAAAATCACCAAACACCCATGTGAACAATACTAATCAGAACTAACCAAAATAATTGGTATTGGTGGTGAATGAAACTAAAATGGCCTGGCAGCTTCTTCCATCAACTTCTTTGCTCTCATCAATCTCTCTACCTCCTTCAGAGTCTAAAATCACAATAATATAGAACACTTACATGGTCAATTATCAAATAAAATAATATATATCCTCACACTTGTAAAGAATTTTCTTTTACCTCCAAAACCATATCTTCTGTGGTCACTGCATCCAATGTATCATAGCCTAACCGAGAAGCAATATCTGCAAAGAATAAATAAGCTGTTAAAATACAACAAAAGGATATGTTAGTGCTAATGAGTATGAAGCAAATATAAATTACTCTGTAGTGCAATAGTTGTATCAGCTGTAGCATATCCATTACGGCTATCTTCATAAATAGCAGTTAATTGAGTCAACACCTGTTACCATGGTAAGCTAAAAATCAGCATAATAGCCCAACAGCTGAAGAAATCCACAAACAAGAGGCGTTCATTAAGCTAGAAAAGGATGTTTAACATTAAATATGAGCAAAATATCAATGTTTTGTCTAGCTTTTTAGGTGGAGACCTCGGAATATGATCCATTTATTGTTTCAGCAGCAGGAAATTGAAAATTCTCCTCCACAATCTGCTTGGCTACCATATCCAAAGGGACATCAATCCATATTGATATGCCGTGTCTCATAAGCGCCCTGTAAAAGTCAAGTTATGATCAAGAACAAGTCTTGTTTTCTCTTGGGGGAGAATAATTAACAGCATTCATACAGATTAGCTGCGCACTGAACTGCACCATTCCCAGTACAAACAACAAGGCGACCCATGGATGACAACTGCTTCAGTACCTCCGTCTGCAGTTGCGAAATTGGTTTTGGTGATAAATCTCAACATAGAGAAGCAGTAAAAGACAGCATATGGACATTAGGAAGCCACCTCCGAATCTCGAAATCCCTTCAAGTCTGTCTTGATAAACGACCTGACAGCATCCTTTCCTCCCAAAGCTTCTTCAACAACACTATCACTGCAATAGATTAAGCTAATAAGATGAGTTAATGAAGATGTTAGTTTAGGGTTTTTGGAGAAAACGTGCAACTTACGACCTGTCAAAATAATAATAGCGCAGTGCCTCTGCAAGAAGTTGAGCTGAGTTAGATTTGATGGAGCTGCTTATTCCTTTCAATTAAAAGCAACATAATTAGTGAGGAGAGACGACAAGCGATATTCTAACCATGAAGGATGTATAATAAATTCGTGGATTTTCATAGAGAATGAAGGGAGAAAAGTTATGCCCACCAACAAGGAATAAACAAGTTCCTTTCAAGTCTGGGGATATCTCTGCTGCTTTCCTCTGAATCACAAGTCAGTTAAAAAAAAGAGTTTGACGTAAACAGAAGCATCCATCCAATGCTCAGTCTTACCTTGAGGGTTAACGAAAGATCAAATTGAGTGATGGAATCTGAAAATGGGAAATCGTAGGTTAATTATGAAATTTCGGAATACGAACCATTTGGTGTGTGAGAGACAGACTCACCATGGTTATTGTTGGCAAGTGCTCTGGGCTTGAGATGATGGCAAATAGTAGTAGGTCGAGAATGGCCGACCAATGGCCATAACTGCTGAGCCAATTGGACCACCTTCATTTTCCTTCCCACTTCTTCTTCCCCTTATCAGCTAACTAGTCTTAAATATATACCCTTTTCTTTTTTCTGTATGTATAGTAGACTAGTTTGTATTAATCCAAGTTCAATTGTTTTTGATGGGCAAAATAGATTTTTTTGCTGACCAAATATTCCTGGTCATTAGTTCATTTCATTCCTCAAAAAGTTAGTACTAATTCTTATCTTCAAAACAAATAAATAAACTTCTTTATTTACCATTGCAACTTCTTTCACAACTTTGTTGTCACAATAAACTTGCATACCCTTGACTAATCCACCAAATGCATGCTGCATGCCACGAATCTTATCTTAATATAATAGAATGGACTAGATTATAAAAGAACGTTGTTCTTAATTTGACGTTTCTTCTCAAGGGCTTCCCCAAACGCTACAAGGGGGGGTAGGGGTGGATTTGAACACCGCGAGATCAAAATTGTGGCAGGGAGCTCCCGTTACATTTGTGTAAGATACATGGAGAACATTCAAAACGAACAAATAAAACCTTACATTAATAACATATGTACAAATCCCACTCCCGCAATATTGCTTTGTGGACACAAACTCTACACCCCCGACCCAAAAGAAAAAAATACGGCACTGTCTACAATGGCTTACATATATCAGCTCCTACCTGCATCCACCAAAAAAAAACATGTCAAATATAACGAGGGAGGAAATGAATTATACAGTCACATGAAAATCAACGCATTCTCCTAGCCATTTTTAGCTACTATAGAAATACTTCAATTACTTAACAACCAGTTATCCCGCACCCAAACAAACAACCAATCTGACATACTTTTCCAGTGAAGATTTGACCAGGTGGAGGGTAGAAGACTAGACAAGATTCAAACACAACTTGTAACCCTTTTTTCTCCTTCTCAAAACATTCAGGCAGATCAATCACAGATATGAGGTTCACTTTAGAATTTTTCACTAGCTCTGACAAAGAAATAAGCTACTTATCTGGAAACAGTATAGTTGCCATGTTACTATTAATCAAGGTGTTTTACCTCTGATTTGCCCAGAATTTGAAGCGTTTGAAAGAGAGAGAGGTGTTAATGGAGGAGAGCACATCACATCACCCTTGCCCTTTCTTTGAGGAGATTCTAGTAGCTGAGCTACATGTAGTGCCATTGCTCTCTGATTATTGGAAGGTATAGAAAAACTTCGAGGGATGGTTAGTGGAGGAAGTGGTAGTGGAGAACCCGTATTTGATGCCAGCACAGGGCTCTGATTAGTTGGTGACGTTTCTTGATTTCTGTTGACTAAGGGCGCAGAGTGCCCAAATGCAGTAGAACTTGATGGCTTGGAGGCCAATAAGCCAGGGGGACGAGGGAGCTCATGAAGCTCACTTATTTTTGGTGAAGAAACAAGGGGAGGTGAAGCACTGTAGGATACATCTAGAGTCGATGGTGGCTGAGTTATTGGTATTCCAGAAGCCAATCCAGGTTCTAGAAGAGGCCGTTCGGCCAAGCCTATAGGTCCACTGGCAGATAACAGTGGCTTGCTGGATGAAGGCTTACTTGCTAATGGACCTGAGAAAGCAAGTCTTCTTATCTTTCTGGCATCAATTCCATTTTGTATATCATTTTGTGGGAGAGAAGTTCCCTCAGCAAGAGGTGCGGGTAGTGGGGTGGAGAAAGTATGATCTTTAATCTCTTGAGCAGTAGATTGGCCTTTTGCAAGAGTGTCTGTTGACAAGTTGTCATCTGCAAATTTAGAGTATTTATCCATATTAAGCGGGGAAGAATGCCACGGATTGTTGCTGCCTCCACTAGTGTTCATGGTACTTGAGTGTTGAAGGGAAACACTTGTCCTTGAACCCAAACTTTTAGCATCGGCTGGAGTCGGTAAGACGTATGTGTGAAATTTCCGGGCAGATGTCTGTGCTTGTTTTATTCTATCAGAAATATCCGATTTCTCTGCAAATATTGGAGCAGAATGACTGACTACACGCGGTTGTCTAGTAAAAACCTGCTCCTGGTTTTTGCCAAAATCCAACTGCAAGAAAATGTCTTTCAAATTAAATAAGAAACATCTGACAAGTTGACAATAAGAAGCATACAAAAGACCCAACAAATCTGAGCATCCAACTGAAAATCTCAAGGCAACGTGTGGAGTAGCTCAAACCCTTAATAAACCCCCTTTGAAAGTCCTTACAAACGCCATATGGGAAAAATATATAGCTAACATAATGTTTCCTAAATACTAGATACAGCCACAGGGGTAGAACTTTACCTCCACTTCCTCCATCCCAGAGGTTAGGGTACTTGGAGCATCAGCGGGATCAAACTGCCAAAATCAGGCATATTAGACCAAAATCCAACATTTGGCAAACTAAGCAAGTCATCATCTAAGATCAGATTTTGATAATGCATAAAAAAAAACTATAGATCTTAACTGTCAATCACTATAAATCATAACTGTCATTCTCTTCCCAGGTGTCTCTCTTTCTATATACACACACAGGCGGACAAGTTCAGCTGTGCATTGAATGAGTACAAGAAATTGATCAAGGGATGTAATGTCACTGAAGGACATATGCAGTAATAAGAAGGCTTATGGTTATAGCTGGTTTTAGTAGTTGTGAGATTGGAATCAGTTTGTGTAGAAATGTGTTGACGAATAGGAAAACCAAAAGATTATTTTTGTGCTGCTTGAAAACTAGCACCTCATCACATACGCCAAAAATAATTGGATGTAGCCCATGAACTAGAAACATATTAGTGATCAGCCAGTTTCATTGTGGTTATTACAAGCTAACGGCAGGGAAACAGCATTTAAGAATTGACATGCTACCAAAAGCTTTAACAACCAAGATCTCCAGTAGGCAGCTCACAATCTTCCACAAAGGGAAAAAGAGGCATGACAACAATATGATTACCTACCTCCATTGAATCCCTCAATGGGAAAGAATCATTTGGTTCCTGCTTATTTTTTCTATAATCAAAACTCAATTCACCATCATCATTGGCCTCATAGCTCTTGCCTCCATCCTCGCTATCATCCAATTCAACAGGTTGATAGTCAATGTGTTGGTTTTCAGCAACCATCCTTATTTGTGGTTCAACAGATTCAAGAGATTTAAGTCCTTTGCGGAAGAAATTAAGCTGTTTCAGAAAAAGAGAAATTAGGCAGACAAGGAAGTACCCGATTCAAGAAAAAGATTGATAACCAATAATGAAATAAATGGAGTTATGAAATGCAAAAGGACACCTGTGCTCCATGGTGACGAGCTGCCTGGGTCAAAAGGCTGCGACATTGCCCTTGCTTCAGAGATTGTACACGGAAAATGCAAAGTCTTGCCGTTTCCTCATAGTCCTCCCGAGCTGCCTGTAACTGCTGAGAAGTAAAGTTCTCACCCTTTCCACCCTTTCCTCTTTTTGCCATATACTCGTACACCTCCCTGCAGATCATGCCAGATGTTAGCAAGACTTGATTGCAATTTTATTTTTAAAAAAGGATTTCTGTACCATGTCAAAAAGACACATGACGAAGGATACCTTTTTTCATCACACTGCAGTTTCATCTCCTGCATCAAGGAAGAGGATACAACCGACTGAGTAATGAGGAAACAATGCAAAAATTCTTGCATACACGTGTTCTATAATCAGCCTCCAAAGGTGCATCAGTCTGGCGGTTTTTCAAATTAATACATCTGTTTGGTTTGATCAACAAAATTGTTTCTGCTCATCTAATTTGGGTGGTTATTTAGGTTAATTCAATTAATCAGTCATAGCACACCCTGTCATAGTTACACTATGTCAATGGCAACAGGCCACTGTAGCTAATATGTGGACTGGGGAGGGATGGAATCTTGGCCAAAGAAGACAACTAAATGACTGGGAGATTGGAAATATGACAGAACTACTCAGCTATTTAGATGTTCACAGAAGTTTTGCTGGGACAATGATGTGCTAATATGGCAGGAAGACAGCAAAGGTGACTTCTCAGTCAAGTCTACTTATACGGCCTTACGTCCCTTAACAGGACAAGGGGACAGGAGAAAGAGTGGCCATGGAAGATGATATGGAAACCTAAGGTACCTTACAAAGTGAAATGCTTCACTTGGTTTTTGGAACAACAAGTTGTTCTAACACATGAGAACCTGAACAAGAGAGGCCATCAGTTGGCTTCTAGGTGTTACTTGTGTGGAGAACAAGATGAGCCAGTCAAACATCTTTTCTTACATTGTAAATGGACAGAACAACTATGGAGAATGTTCACTACCCTGAAGGGGATCAGGTGGGTGAAACCAGGATGCATTAGAGGAGTACTTAGTAGCTGGATCAGGGATGGAAATGTTACAAAGAAGGAGGAGAGATGGAAGATTGTCCCAGCATGCATTTGGTGGTCAATCTGGAACGAGAGAAACAATAGGAGCTTTAAAAATGTGCAGAACAGTCTACAGGATGTCAAAAAGAAGTGTTTAGCTCTATTTTACTTCTGGTGTAAACATAATTTATTAGCTCAAACTGAAGACATCTTTGATGTTCTAGATTGTTTATAGGTAACACAAATAGACTTGAGCTTTTGATAAACAGTAATACTTTTGAAGGGGAACTACACTTTTGGTTGTAGTATACATGTGGATAAATAGAGTAATGTTACCAGTTTCAAAAAAAGAAGAAGGTAATACCTAGCTATAAAAGTTGATGTTCAATAGGATTGGCAAACACGACTTTGATTAAAGCAACCAACTTAATGAGAAAAAGAAATAAATAAGTTAATTGAAATAATCCAACCCAACCAACCAAGCACTCTACATTTATGGGATTGTTGGTGTAAAAATATTGTCGATAATTTTAAACTCTATCAAATAGCAAAGAGGCCATAGTAGGGATGCATCTATTAGCAACTCTAACCCCACCCAATTAAGACTTTACTACAGCACTAAATATGGGAGATCTTCAACTAAGATGGCAAAAGGGAGTAACAACTCAGCATAAGCTTAAGTTGTACCTAGGTCAAAGGCATTA